CAGTGTTCTAAGAAGTATCGAACAGTTCGAAATCATTTCGCTACATCTACGTGCTGTCATGCCAAACTATTCGCCAACAATGCTTCTTTGACTTTAAGTCTCTTTGTTTTGAAGATAACTCTTTAATGAGGAAAAATTCGGTTATCCTCATTGTCGTCGAATTCTACAACTTCATTTCACTCAGAATCATGGAAGAGTGGAGGATTCCGGGGAAGCATTCACAAAGTTCATTGGGAATTAATCACACCACATGCACGTGTTTGAAAATATTAATGATTTACCCACTTCTTCATGACACGATCGCGCTCTTGCTGTCGAATAGCGATGTGAAGGAGCAGTTCAATCGCCATTGAGATCATCCATTTCGGAAAGAGCTCGACATTACCACTGGAAAACCGAGAAAGGGGTAAACTTAGCCCAATGCGTCACCCGTTGCAACTTTTTCTAGAGTCAGTAAAGTGTCTTCTCATAAGTGTGATAGCACACGTTTCCATGGATCCAGTATAACCTAATCGGTAAATCTGGCGCGCGAATGGTGCTACCTATAGTCTCGATAGAAAAACAGGCAGTGAAATATTGCGGTTCTTTCAGATTCCTCGTGCTCGGTAGTGCTTCCAAGATCCTCTCAACTGAATCCATCTATCAAGAATCAGGATTCGGAATTGCAAAGAAAAGATCACTATGATGAAATCCTGGTGCGAGTTAGAAAACCCCAGTAATCACCTGTCATACATGAAATTAATCTTTGGGAAACTCAGTGTGTGTACCACTATTGTATTTCACCCACATCCTTCCAAGTTTGGCTGGAAAGGCCTCCTATGTACCACGTTCTCCATACACCTTCATGCCCTCGCAAAACCCCTCTCGCCTGGCGGTGGCCCTTAGCAGCGGATGGGTGGAGCTTGGCGGGCCGCCAGGCTGGTAGCGCCGTCCACATGACCTCGCCGGCTGGCCTCTCGGCGCGCCCGCGCTCGCCGCACTCTCTGCTCCGTCTCGTCGTCTGCGGCCGTCGTGGCGCTTGCTCTTCTCGCCGCAGCTGACTGTCTGCGCGCCTCCGTCGCGGACTGCTTCTCAGCGTTGTCCTGCGCAATCTTCGTCTTCTCTGGATGGAGCTCGCGGGAGCGGGGTTGGCAGCTAGCCAGCTATCCGTGTGCAAGGCTTGTCATGCTTCTCGTCAAGTGATAATCATTCTTTCTGTTCTTGCAAGCGTTTTACCTTTGCTTTACTACTGCTACATTTCTTGCGTAGTTTTAAATGGGTTATACTTGTTCGTTAGTACTCGGCTTTTTGTTTGAACGTGGTCCCTTCGTAGTTTCCAAGAATGTTATTCGGGCCCAAATGTTGGTCACGAATTTCCGGACGTTATTAATGTTCTCGTTAATTTAGTCCTCTGTTGCTGCTGAGCAAAATTACGAACCTGATCAGCTTCTGCCTAACATTGACCCAGCCGTGCTTCCCACGGTAGGTCAACATTGTCGGTCTTCCGGCGATAGGACGGGCCGACTACGCCTCGATCAGAGCGGACTGCATAGCAGCAGCAGCAGCAACAACAGCGGGATGGCTGCGGAATCGATTGATTGCCGGCGTCGTTAATCACTCCGTTCGGACGCGGTCGGCTAAAAAGTGAGCAGTTGTCGGTTGGTGGAGCGTCGTCGTGACTCGCTCCGGTCTCCTCATGACATCACGGAGGGCTCGAGCCCCACAGGGCCTCCACAGCCCTCGCTTGCCCCAGTTTTTGCGGTGGTACTGTGTGCAGTAGCAGTCATTTGTCAATGTCCGCGTCTCAATCACTGTGTTTATTCTCTGGAACTTTCGATTTTTTCATGCTTTCTTTTCTTTTATCGAGAGTTACTCGAGCTTGTTGGAATCATGAATCCTGGCTACCTACGGTAGTTACAATCTTCGTTGCCGTTCTATACTATCACAGCGTCCGCACTACTGTATTCATTCCTTTTCATTGTTTCCCTTTCCAGCCTACATTGCTGCGTACGGATAGTATGGGAACAGTTACAGGCGTTAGTGCGTACCCTAGCCCTTTTTCACTGCGGGTTTCCTCTTCTGCGATTGGATAGTAATCACTAGCATTTGAAGACTATTGGTTAGAAATCTGTGTACACTCGATTTGTGCGCTATTGATCAGGTTATATGTGCAAACATTGTCGTCGAAATGACATCGAGATGTGAATTTTGGGAGCTGAATTTGTCCACTAACGTCTAGCAGTGAAACTATGCGGCTGTTGGCTTTAGTGGTTGACGATGTGTTTATCGTACGTATTCCTGCGGTATGTATTGCGAGTTCTTATCGGTATTCCATCGTGCACAAGCAGGTCAGATGAACCGTTCCGATGCCGAGCCCGCCACTGGTGCTACGACTTCTCGCGTAGCAGGCCGTCATAGTTGCTCAGCAACATGTTGCTGCTACTGGTTGTTGTCGTTGTTGTTGTTCTTGTCGTTGCTGTTGCGGCCGTGTGTGGCGGTGGCGGTTGGAGGCCGAAGCATGCATGTGCTCGACACGTGTGTGTGTTGGTTTGTACCAGTCGCAGTCGGTCGTGTAGAGCGTTGCCGCCATGGCGCCTCCACGGAGCGGGTTCTTCCGCCGCCGCCGGACGCCCGCTGTCGCCGACCGGAGTCGTCTCGCGCGTCGCCGGCGTCTCCATCGACAAAACACAGTTCGTCGAAACTACATCCTCACAGGAAATAATGGGGATGTGTGAATATAGCCCACATCTTTGCCAAGCGGACTTTCATTTAACCTTGGCGTGAGTAAGCTGTGTATTTATTCGAATCGTTCGTCTTACCCGAGGTTATTGTCAAACTTTTAATCGGCTGACATCTTGACGTCTTGATCTCCTTCAGAGCAGAGTTGATCCGAGTCGATTTTCCACGGCAGTTCACTATTACGATATTGGTGTTCGTGGTCGTATCAAGTGAAATCCATTGCAGCAGCGCCTTTTAAAAGGACACCGCCGAGCGGGGTTACCTTATCCAAGCGCTGCTTTACGGGATTTGACTCGAAACGACCACAAGCATCCACTGAAAGAATGAGTGGTAGTGGACAAACGATTCAGGTTGAACCGGCTCTGAAGAGAGACGTCAGTGGAATAATACTTGTATAACTTCTTATAAACTGAGAAATTCAAAGAAGTAGATGCTATATCTATTTCACCGAGTTGGCTTCCACCGACTGTTCTTTTCCTGTGTCGTCATCGAAGAGAGTACTGTCATGAAAGCTTAGCTGAATTTGGAACGTTGGTTCGTCAGTGCCAACCGGATTTTACAAAACGCTAACCCATCTTCTGCATTTGTTAGGCGTTCAAATTTTTTCGCTTTAACGAAGGCGTGCTTTCTTCTGATATAGCAAGGATTATAACAATGTGGCAGGACCCCATTCGTGTGTGATTTGGTAGTCAAAGAACCAATATAATATAGCGCTGAGAGGATCTTCAAAGAATATTGCCGGATAGGAATTCATTCCAGCCTCGGTTAGAGACACGAAGCTTAGAGTATTGTTTTCGTGGTATAAGTCCAGTTTTAATTCATGAGTGGTCCTATTCGTAGTGTGTCAGAATTGTAGCATTTTTAAAGGCAAACTTTTTCAGATGCCACTTTGTTATAATTAACGTGATCTAAACATTGTAAGTGGAGGTGTAGTTAATTTGTAAAAAAGAGCGTGTGTGGCGCAGTGATCGGAAGCGTCCTGCAGAACACATGGGTTCGACCCCAGCGCCCCAAGCTCACCAACCCTTCCATCTTTTCGGGGTCGGAAAACATGTACCAGAATTGTCTGGGAGGATAGCACCACTGGCTCGATACATTGGTAGGCCACCGCGACTCATTTTAAAGGCCAGATATGCATTCAATCACCTTCGACGATGCTTAATGGAGTCGCACATGGCGGATCTCTCAGGGATTGATCAGCGCTGAGAGCTTAGTCCTTTTTTTATATTTGTGATTTGGAACACATCCTTGAACTAAGAAGTTTCACTACGCTTCTCCCACCTTCTTCCCATTGCCACTACCTAGTTCTAATCTCCTAGCATCACTACTTGGTGTTTAGGCTAATGTCCATGTTATCTCGGTTTGTTTGTGCACTATATTAGTACCGATTGTTTCGACAAAGAATAAGCTCGATCTGGTTAGGTAATTCCATACGATAAACTATTCGCGTATTCTGTTTCGACCAATTTATGATCAGTTTCGCCTCGCAATTTTTGACGCATCTGGTGCCTTGTCAGTCGTCTTCACGGCACTATTCTTAACGGACTGAAGAGAAGGCGTTGGTCTGTGTACACGTTCGTAATTGTTGCATCTCTCATGAAAACTAGTTGTTGGTATCCATACAGTGTAGAGCTTAGTGCCATACTATTTTTATGCTCTCCGCAGCGCTTTATTTTTGATCCTTACAGTCTTTTTGATGTGTTTGCGAGTTGCCTATTTTAATGCAGCACTCAGATATCGGGCTTAATCGCAAGGGATTGCGGTAACAACACATCATCCCGCTTGAATAAGATCATCCTCTCAGGTGAGTTTTCTCATACGTGTTTTCCTAATTTGTCGTTTGTTCGATAGTCACTTTGCTAACCACTCTACCTAGGCTCAATCGTATTCTGCCTCTGTGCACCGGTAACCTGCTGACCTGTTCTTTTATAGCTAGCTTGCTTTCGCTGTTGTTGACTTATTTCCAAATTTTGCTAGGATGTGCGCATAGCTTGGATAGGGTCCAATATTTGCATCCCATAGTGCACATCTCTCAGGTGCCAAATTCTTCAACCATTAAGTTCTGTTTGGGCGGTTTATAGTAAAGGATATTCGTACTGTTTCGCACATTGACGTAGGTGTCATTTCGTTCATCCATACATGCAGGTGGTTTATTGGAATTATAGCAGGGGAAGAGGTTATCGGATGTAGAGAATTTTTTCGAGTTTGTTTAAATCACTTGCTATGTTTGTCTCGTCGTCAAGTGTTTGGGTCCTTTCAGTTGAGGGTGCGGCGAATTGGCGGCACGAGAGATGTCCCCAGGTCAAAATCCACAACAGCAATACGGAAATAACAATTATAACGCCATGGCCCAAAACGCTCAAACACCACCACCTAGAAATATTTTTCAGCAATATGTGAGCATGTATTTTTCTTATCAGTCAGTTACCTGGAACGATGAAATCTCCGACAAAATTCCATTTTCTACTTGTTGAAGCATTTAGATTAGGTGTTATTTTCTATCTTTTTATTGATTGGTTCCAGTCGGATAGATAGTACCTGTGGAGGGTTTTGACTTTTTCATTCCTAACGTTGACTGAATGCATGCTGGCGATATTGTTTGATGTAGTGCTACTTCTATGGCGCGGGCACGGGGTTCGGGTGCGTAAGAATGTCGCGCACATTTAATCCGACTTCTCTTTCGAAACGTCGAGATCATCACTGAAGCTTTAAACTTCCTAGTTTGCAAAAATACAGGCTATTTTCATATTATTTTTCGAGCCTCTTTAACAGTTATTGATGTCTTCATCGGATATTTTACGAAATTGTAAGAATTTCTCGAAATGTGCTCATGTTCCGGCTGACTTTTTCCACTTGTTTGAAAAACCATGGTATAATCATTGTATTTCTCTTATTCGGTAGTTATTATTAAGGGTGTATGTTTTAAAAGTGATCAAAGTGCTACGACACCGTTGATAGTTGCTTGAGATTATCTTTAGGCTACCGCAAGACCACCCGGAGGGAACAACATGTTCGGAGGTGGGATGCGGATGGGAGTTGATTCTCGAACAGTTTATGCCGCCCCTCCCAGAGATGATACACCATTGCAGGACGGAACACCATTGAGTTCGGTAGGTACTCATACTCTTGTATTGCTATGGCTGTAGTTTTAGTACACTTTCGTGATTCGTTGCTCATAATTATTCCTATTTTTTTTTCTCCAGACGAATTTGTACATACGTGGCCTCAGTCCGAGTACAACCGATGAAGATCTCAGAAAAATGTGTGCTCAGTATGGAACAATCACTTCTACGAAGGTAAAAATTGATATCTTGGACGCTGAAGTGTTCAGTGTATTGGTGGCATTGGCACGAAGTCCAGTAGGTTCTTTGTCCGTTGTTGTCGATTGACAGAAGCACATGGAATTCTGAGTCGTTCTAAAAAACAAACCCGTAACGAAAACGCGTTCGTCCCCTGAAAGGGTACTAGCGTGTTCGATTCCCACCACGAGGGCCTGCGGTCAGGAGCTTTGCAAACCCGTTGACGGGTTATCGCTGATGGGACTGGTAGATAGAAAATGAGCTGAGAGAAAGTCGAAATGAAGGACCCACGTGGTGTGGTGGTGAACGTGTTAGCCCCCGGAAAGGTAATAACGTGTTCGATCCCCACCGCAGACACCTATGGTTCGGAGCTTTGGAAATATTTCACCATCATTGTGGTTGTATTTCATATAATAGCCTGCCGTGGAAAGTTGTGGTAGGCCCTAAATAAGAGGTTAAAAAACCTGTGTGTTTAAAATTTCATGTTGGGGAACGAACGACACTCAGTGATCGCAGTTTTCAGCACTCAGATTTTTCTTGCTTTTAGGCCATAATGGACAAGGCTCTGAATCAATGTAAAGGTTACGGTTTTGTGGACTTTGAAAGTCGGGAAGCAGCTTCGCGAGCAGTGGAAATGCTCACCAAGAGTGGGATTCAAGCTCAGATGGCTAAAGTAGGTGATCATATTGTATTTTTTTTATTAATCTGTGACAAGGGAGAGAACTTATGTGCCCATTCTTTTAGGTTTTTTTATTATTTTTTAAATAATAAAATAGACAAGCTTTATCTATTACCAGTGTTATTTTAATAGTCCTGACCGTAGCTCACTTTCAATCTGCTGCGTGTTCACAGTCTGTTTTGAAAGGTATTGATGGAAATTCATGCTTTACGACCTATACAGTTTCCTCTACTATATGTCAAAGTCCTTTAATCTCATTGTGCATTTAAGCAGCTTCAGCAACAAGAACAAGATCCTACGAACCTCTACATTGCTAATCTGCCGTCGAATTTCAACGAGCAAATGTTGGAGAGTGCACTGAGCCCCTATGGGATGGTAATATCGACTAGAATACTTCGGAATGCTGACGGTAACTCGCGTGGTGTTGGCTTTGCAAGAATGGACTCTAAGGTATTTTGCTTACACCTTTTTTGCATCATTTATGGATGTTTTTTCCTGATTATTTTAGGAGAAATGCGAGGAGATCATCACTGCTTTAAACGGCAAGCTGATCGAAGGGATGGATCCAAATGCGACCCCATTGCTTGTGAAACAAGCTGATACCGGGAGGAAGAATACTCGCAAAAGAAGTGACATGGGATTCGAACTAGGGATTTACCCTAGCCAGGTAGATTTTTTTGTGTTGCTGTGAAGATGTGATGAAGCGATGTAGATTTCGCAAGTTTCAGCCCTTTCCTATGACAGCTCCACATGACTACATGAGAAATATAGGTGGAATGCCACAGATGTATCCAACTCCTTACGTGAACTACAGCATGGGATATCCGCAGCAAGTAACAGGATATTCACGTAAGTTATGTTTGATATTAACACTGGTTGGATAGTCAAAGTTGCACTTTTGTTTACAAAGTGTCTTTTTAATTAATCACACTTGAAGGTTCTTTTTGTGCCTACTAGGAAAGAAATTGGGAAGGTTTACCAGAGTCATCTCGATAAACGTTCCAGAAGAACATTGTGGTTGTTTGTTATTGCAAATATGGTTAGGTATAATACTGCGTACATCATGTACATTATTACACTTGGGGATTGCAAGTAGGAGTTTGGCTGCCCAAAATTAGTCCCTTAATGTTATCGCTTCATCAAATCGTAACGCCGCTTAGCACATTCGAGACGACATGACCTTTGTAAGTGTGATAGGATGCGAATATCTCAAATTAGAGCGAATTTTATTAATTACTTTAAAAATTATTGGGATCGACATTTTCTGCATGATGAAAGTTTTATCACGATGAAATCCTGATTCTCCAGACTTATACTTCTTCCTCTCTGTTAATTCAAAGCTCATCTTTGGAACGCTAAAGCAAATGAGCAAACGGTATTTCGTCCATAATGGCAAGGTGGTGTTCCTGAATGTGTAGTTTATGCTTGCAACATCCGCTCTTCCGTTAGAAAGTTCAGGAGCATTTGAATTTGAAAACACGGTGTATAACTTATGCGATTACGGCGATAAACCGAGGTCTCCTTTACAGACGTGTTAAGTTCTGAAGGGGGCTGATAACGTAGTGGTAGTGATTCCGGTAATCACGAACGCAGTGCTGACTCGATCCCGCATTAAACTCCCAAGGCTTTCATACCTGTGTGGTCGGGAAATTGGTACCGTACTTCTTATGGAGAAGTTTAATCTCTGTAATCCAAGTGGGGAACCTAGCCCACATATTCCAGGACTCCAGGTAAAATCGACTCGACTAGTATTCAATGGTGTTTGTTAAAAAAAGTCAATCCTCAAGCGCCACCTGAACACACACACAAAAAGCTCGAAGACCTTCGGATGACTGATACGAGAAACAAATCGACCATGAGAAATGCTGAGATCCACACAGCAGATTCGAAAACGGGTCGTGTGGGAAAAGTCCTGAACTCAAAATACTCTAATGACCGAAAAGTTACCATCTGTTGTCGAAAAACCAGTTTCATTGCAAATTTATTAGAGGTCACTTTGCATTTTCTAACTTGTTGACCTAATTCTGTAAAGCATGTTTTCAGCTTATGATGTGAACGCTATGACAAGTCAGATGAGTGGAATGCAAATCGGTGCTGGAGGTCCTCCGACGGCTCAAGATAACGGTGGGGTGTACATGTTGCCACAACAGGGATACTACGTTAATAGAAAGGTAATCTATAATGTTGCATTTTCTCAATGTAGTGGCGTGAACGCCAGAATATTTTTCTTCCCACGCTCTTGACGTTTTCTTTTTATCGGGAAAGGTTACCAACAAGAAACTACGGAGCGCTGTGTTTTTATTTTGAAATCAATAGTTTGCTAAGCAGTATAATGGCACTGGACAGTTTGATGTGATGCAAGGTCCTTCCGGCAATGGAAATCCTCAGATGACCATGGGACACACAGGACAGTATGTTCAATCTGGTGAAGAAGACCCATATAGAAAGATGAATGGCGGTCAAGTTAGTCTGCCTAAAATAACGCATTAGACTGCTAGAATGACATAATAGCCTTCCAGGGTCAACTTCAGTAATCAATCGTGTGATTCTTCCCTTTTAATGGTCTCGCCGATGTGTTCGCATATAGGAGTTGATGTATTTGATATCATTGTCCTTCGTTGTGGTCAGCCTTGGTATAGAGACTTGAATCAGCTCATATTTACTCATGTTGATAGCAGTATTGTGCTAGAACCTCTTCGTTCACCGTCGTTGTGTTTGCCGCCATAAGTGCTGCGCCACTAATTTTACTTTTTTTTGCATATTTAATCGACTTCATGTCTATTCTAACTAGTTGTAACTTGGCACATTTCTCACTCGATTCTCTTAAGTTTGGTCCTTGTTTGTCAACTGGTATAGGGCCCAGCTCATGCTAATACCGCGTCTTGATTGTATGTTTGAAATCGTTTTGTTGACACAGACAGTGTGATCAAATGTATAGATTGTTGTCCTATAGTTCTACACGATTTTTGTTGTGGCGTAACTTCAGCAGAGGAGTTACGTTGATAATCTCCTGTCTCCGTTCCTTTTTATGTTCTCAAAACCTCAATTCTGTCATAGTTTACAAAGACCTACGTCCGAGTTATTTACCATGACAATCAAAGATCACGACGCCATGTTGGCGTGCGTAAGTTTGTCGTTATGGTTTTTTCTTGATTTTCCGCCTCTTTTTTCATATTTTGTTTCGAACTTTTCAGAAGAACAAATGCCCTAATTTGAATTTTTATCCTGGAGCAATTACACATTTCCCTTGCCTCGTTGTGCCTTGGCTCTTATGGTTTTACCATATGACTGATCAACTACGATTTGTGAGCTTACGTGTTTATTGCCTCAAACGTAGTTCATTTGTCATTCCTCAGAGAGATTTCACAAAATGTTTTCACATGTTGTAAATAAAACAATAAAGATGTCAGGCATGTCGTACGTTGTGCTTTATTGTTTAAGGCTAATGTAATCTTAACCGTTTTATTTACTGCCTACTATTTTTAATGGAAGGGTACATTGTGAAATATAACTTCAGTGATGCCGAGATATTTGCAAAGAACTAATGAGAGACAGACGAAACGAAGGACCTGCGTGGTGTGGTGGTGAACGCGATATTCCCCGGAAAGGACAATGGCGCGTTCGCTCCCCACCGCAGACATCTGCGGTCCGAAGTTTTGCAAGTATCTCAGCATCGCTGAAGTTATATTTTGCAATATACCCTGCCGTCAAAAAGAGTAGGCAGTAAATAAAACGGTTAAGATTGTGATTATAACTAAAGCCTCAGCTTAACTGGGTTCATTGTCGATTTGGGATCATCATATCAATCCCGCTGACGGGTGATTGCTGATGACAGGGATCGGTAGAACTAGCTGAGCCGGCGAAACGAACGACCCGCATGGTGTGGTGGTGAACGCGTTACTCCTCGGAAAGGACAATAGTGCGTTCGTTTCCCACCATAGAGAGCTGCGGTCTGGAGTTTTGCAAATATCTCAGCATCATTGATACTAATGTAATGTTAATAGTACATCTACGTTAAGCTCATGACTGATTTTTATCAGCAAGTCTAAGAAAGTGTAACATGGTTGGAGTAGAAATTAGTTGGTCAAAGTAAGAAAGACTGTGATCTGCAGATTCTTCTAAAAAGACACAAGTCCTGAGGTCTACAGAAGGTTAGGATTCTGGAAATGAAGTCTTGCAGAGCTGATTGGTTGGGCAATTTGAGGGCCAGTTGCGCAACAGTGGTGAAACAGTGCTACAAGTTTCGAACGTCTTTTGAGAAATTGTGAAGAAATAAACTGCAGGCTATATGTAGTGCAGTGCTTAAAACTGCAATGCAAAGCGCATAAGGTCGTGTATTCTATCGCGCGCAAACCGTGGCACTATCCCTTCAAGATCTGCAAATCACTGTTTTGATTCATTGGCAGACCAATGTGAATCAGTGTGTGTGGTAACTGCAGTTTCAATCAGTTGTACGATGCTTAATTATGATGAATTAATGGCTCATGCTTGAGGGAGTTATCCAGGGTACAGGGCCCCTTTTTTATCCATTTTGTGTCATAGGTTTGGATTCATTTCATCTCACCGATTCTGTTCTAGAATTATGCTGTTCTTACACCACGATCCAGATATGCACAATGTTAGACATCGACAGGTATCGCATGTCACAATGCGAACTATAAAAGAGTCGTTTTTCCCGCATAAAACATGCAGAACAGAATTCGACGACTATTTCGCGGTCGTTGATCCCGTTCATGCAGCAATCATCTATGAAACATTTTTTTCACCTTTCGAACGTTGCTCGGGTTAAGAACGATTATTGAGTTTTGAAAAGAGTGTCCTATCAATCGTTAAGTGGCTTTTGGAAAAATAATATCTACCATTACGTCTGATAGGAGGCGGATAGCGGTAGTGATGTCCGTCATCACGAGAATGGTGCTAGTTCGACTCCACCCTAGGCCAACCAAGCGTCTCATCACTTCGAGGTCGGGAAATTGGTATTGGACTTATTTGGGAGAAAAATCACTCTCTGCAATCCAACTGGGAACGCTCCAGCCCTGGTATCTCAGTAGTCGAGGGAAGATTTCTTGATCAGCATTCCACGACATTCAAGATAAAATGGAAACCTTCAATCAGCAATCAAAGCCACACGCAAAAGTTGGAAGACCTTCGTGGACAACGGATGCGAGGAAACGAATCGAATGTGAGAAGTGCTGGGATCCGCACAGTAGTCGTGAAGACGGGTTATATAAAGTAAAATTTAAAAAAATTACGCCTGATGGTAGTCGTCAATTGTACATGGGATTTCACGAGCTTGTTTTCAAGTAAGGCTCGTATCTCCGGTACGAAATTTTCAGAACCGTCTGCATAGCACGCATTCGGAACAGCTTCTCTGACCAGTGCTCTATCACTTACAGCACGACCCACAGTTTCGTGTAGCGGTAGTGAACGAAAACGTCCTTTTATGAACCAATGACCTAACTGGAGTTGGAGCCCTCATAGAGAGAACTAATCATAAAGATATTGGGACGTTGTAATTTATATTTGGTTTGTGAGTAGCAAAAGATATGGCTGGAAAGAAAGTGAGTCATATGACTGTTTCCGTTCATTCTGATCCCACGCATGAGTCATATCTGACGCATACTGTGGGATGCGCTGTGTTGACATTGCCAATTTTTTTCAGAGGTACCGCCAATTGGTAGAAAAAACATTTATTCGGTTATCGTTTTTGCAATTCACAATTGTTGTTTCCCTTTCCAATAAAGGCTTTATATCAACTCTCAGTAAGTTCATGAATAGGACGAAGTATTATTTCTTAATGTTGAGATTGAATGGAAATCAGTTTTCAAAACATATAGCGACACATTTCTATAACTGAACAAAATGAACAACACAAAGGAGCTCGACAATACTGGCACCGCCTGTACTCAATGGCAATCCTCCTCTGCCTTGTTCCTCAGACGTATGTTAATCATTTCTTTACGGAGACCGCTGTTCATGTCAATGATATGGTGTGATGTACTGGACGAATGGACGGATGAACAAGCACTTATACATTCAGCTCAATTCTACTATCCAGATAAAGGATATTTTGCTTCTCCTTAAGCAAATTACAATTGTACTTCCACCGACCTAGCTGTAGATCATTTTCGAATATTCCTCTCCCTTATGAACATAGCATCTCCCAACGGTTTACCGCCTCAACATGGCTGGGTGTCTCTGGGTGTCGGGCTGCGATGTACAGCGGGGAAGTTCATCTCTTCACCAGGGTCGTCCAAGTTCAGAAGGAGTCCGGCGTTTCTATCGGGAAGCCTAGCTAAGACTAAACCAATACCAGGATCCACCTTCGTCCTGGTATCAAACTAGTCGCATGGTAGCTAATCTCCCTCTGTTCCACAATGGCGACGATTGTTTGTGGTGGTGACGACCTGGGCAGACTTTGGTCTGGCCGACCTCGGTACTGCAGGTAACCACAATGGTTAAACCAGCAAAACTCCGAAAAAATGGAAATTATGTTGGTGTCCGCACAACCAGTGAAGACGGTCCAAGTATCCAAGTAAGTATGAATATAGTACCGCTACCTTCTTACGCTTTGTATTGACTTATCTTATCTGACTTATTGACTATGTAAAAGTCCAGTGACCTTATACCTTTCACATAGCTTCCAAAACCAAACTACTCACGTCGCTCAAATCTTTAGATGGTTTTACAGAGCAGACACAGAGCTCTCTAAAGCTCTCGGCGTTGATCACTCCCTGAGGTATGCACAATGCACTCGTCCTCATAAAGCATTACCGATGTATCGAGCCAATGCTGTTATCCTCCATACAAATCTGGTATCAATTCCGTGGAGGTATGGAAGGCTAGGTGACCCTTGGGAGCGGGGATTGATCCCATGTGTATTGCAGGGCGCCTCCTACCACTGCGCTTCACGCACCCTTAAGCAGGTTTAGGTTATGTTAAAGACTTACCTTTCACCGAAGTCCCCGAGTACCAGTTTACTGAATACATTCAACGTCCTGAACTTCTATTTGGTTAAGTACACCATGTGTGGACACATCAACTAAAGTAGGAATGGACCAAGGCTCAACTAATTTGCGTTTAATTTTCTAGTTCGGCAGTGAAAAATACACGTGTTTTGGACAACGAATGCATCCTAATCGTATCATATAAAAAGGTCCAATCGAGGTCGAGAAAGTGGTGTAGTTACGCGCCATACTCAACGATGATCGAATCGTGAAGTCGCGCATGGAGCTGGTCCGCTATGCCCACACCTATGAATATACGACAGATTTCGGTGGCAGGCGTTGTCATTTCAGATTAAAACTAGTGGGAATAACTGAATTAAAAACCGGTCCAAATTAGTGAATAACTTACAATCCTTAAGCATCTGTCGTTTTCTTCACATTAGATCAACACAAATTAGAAGAATAATCCTAACTGCCCCTCACTGTGCTTCCTAAACGTAGCCTGTAAATGTGGAACATTCGCTTGGATAAGTTAAGGTGTGTGTGTCGCGTAGCTGATATCTACCATAAAAATTGTTCTGATCACATCTCTGCTTAACAACCATCTGAGGAACGTAGTGACCGTCTCGTACAGAACCTCCACCTGTTTCTGGCTATACTGTTATGAATGTTGTACCAGAGGAATAGTGCCTTTGAGTTTTCTACCTGGTCCGATAAAACTACATTATACCAGTACCACTATCGCCGAATAAGCTTTCGGAATGAGATGTATTGCACTATGCTGACACATATTTGTTCTTTCCGCTTTTCAATGCATTAATGCTTCTTTGATATCCCTGTGTAGGTAAATGTAACAAAACCATATTTTCTAGAACGGATTTGACACTCAACATTCTTTTAAACCCCAGAATATGAGCTAATGGAAGCGCTATTTTACAAGCAGAACGTGATGTTGACATATCGGACCAGCGTGGACGGTGCAATCTCGTGAACTCCAAGCGCGCAGACATAAAACGAACAGTTGAGTTAACGAAGCCTTGAAACATTTCCAGCCTTCTACAACCGAAAGGTAGCAAATTCGCTGTTATAGAACGAAAGGCTTTACCTTTAACCAACTCATAACACATAGTTCTCAGATATGCTAATATATCTACGCAGTGTATAATAGAAGCTGAGAACTACATACGTATTTAAGTTATCGATCTACTTTTAAAGCTATAGAAGAGCAGTGATATTAAACTCTTCTTCAAGATTTCATAACCAAAAGTTTAGCAACTATGTGTTCTATTTCGTAACGATGCACTACTTACTGAAAAAGTACCTGAAGAAAACAGAAACCATTCCACTAGCTCACTGACTCCGTTGCAGTTCGACCACAACGCTTTTAACACCTTCATAATTCGGAATATCCAAACTGCGTAAAAACATCCCAATTTACATAGCGAACATCTATAGATGAAAAGTAAGTTCTAGGACTAAGGTGCAGCTTCAAGCAAGAATGAAACGTATGCTGATCTACATAACCATGCTTTGCTGATAAAGTAGAACCAACAATTTATTCAAAAACAACAAATCTACGCTTTACTTTCGGCAATGAAATCTTTCTTGAGTTTGCCCATAAACGCCTTCTTTTCAGCCGTCGTTTGGAATCGTCCGTGACCGGTTTTAGAGCTGGTATCAATCCATTTCAGATTTATTTTCTCATGGGCGAACCTCTTTGTTTGAACAATAAGAGATTTTCTTAGAGTGATTAGACGTTTTTTTGGTCCTACTACGGCTCCACGAAGCATAACATAGTCTTGGTTCACCAAACCATAGCGGGGGAAGCCTCCCTAAACCAATACAGTGTGAAACGAAGGTAACTTTCTACTGATAACATTCGAAAACACCCTCAGGTAAAAACTGTTCCGTCAGGAATAAGGAATTGCAGACATTCTCATCATTGGGTGCACACGTTTAAAAAGTTGATAAGCATACCATTGGATTGATACTTTTCTCTGTGAGGTCGAACTCAGTGGCACCATTGTTCTTGCCATCCGGAGTGATGCATGAACGTCCGATCCTGTAGATTTTGCTGTTAATATGAGTTCGGTGATGATAACCTTTCTGGCCAGCACGAGCAACTGTGAAAGCGACACGAGAAGGATGCCATGCTCCAATACAAGCGACCTTAAACGTTAAGAAGCTACATTCAGAAACCGCAATTTTTAGAAATTTTAAGCCTACCTTGCGGAGTCCCTTGTGGGTTTTACGGGGAAGCTTCTTCGTTCCCCATCTACTGGTGACGCCTTTGAATCCATGTCCTTTAGTCACACCGATGGTGTCGATCATTTCGTCTTGCGAAAATACGGTATCAACGGGGACTTGCTTCTCGAGATGTTCCTTTGCCCAGTCGACCTTTTGATCAATAGTACCACCATTAATTTGAATCTCGACGAGATGGGCCTTTTTTTGTTTGCGATTGAGGATTTTCATCTGAACGTGAACAATTCGCAATACGTAATCAAAAGCTTTATAGACACGAACTTGAGTGTGGGCAATGACTCGGATTGATGAGCAATACTTCTTCATCTTGGCGAGGTCCGACTCGATGACTTTTCTTCCGTCCTCATCTTGCCACTTCTTAGCATACTTGGTGAATGCCTTCTTCTTAGACTTGCACCTACAGATGAATTATTGAACCAGTTGGCTACGCAGCACCTCTTAGGTAGTTGCGTGTGGCACAGCAAGTTCAAATCCCTTCATGCTCAACGAGCAGCGGAAGGTATCATCATTACTTGGCAAACATTCATACTCATGTACATAAGACAGAGGAGATGAATGAATTACAGATTGCCACTGCAAATATTCATTAAAGAATGGATAGAAAAGTATATATCCAACTAAAACGAACCAGTTCTTGTAGAAACGTCGGCGGCAATCTTCGCTAAGATGCTCTGCGAAGACCGATTTGAACGAACGAGGTCCTCGTGGAGTGTCGATGTATCCTATGATGCCCACAATCACCATAGGTGGAGTTTCGATAATAGTTACGGCCTCGACAACTTCCTTTTTATTCACCTTCGATCCTGGTTTGTCCACCTAAGCAACACTATTCATCATACTGATAAGATAAAGCATCTTAATATTAACTATAGATGCTAGAATGGTAGCGGGAATTAGAGAAAAAGCATAAGTGGTGTACGAACGAAAACAGAAACTCACATCACGAACGATGTGGGTCATGCCTGCTTTGTAACCAAGGAAAGCAGTAAGATGAATTGGCTTCGAAGGATCATCTTTCGGGAAAGCCTTTATCCTGCCTCGATAAGTCCGCGAACGTTTCTTTGGGGCAAAACCCATAGATCCATGCCTTGGAGCCGAAAATTTACGGTGCGACATCTTTACCTTAAGCTGAAACCAGTCATACACTTACGCCTGAAAAGTTCCGTAGAAATACTTCCGTGTGCATCATACAGCATCTGAAATGAGAGGAAAAATTCAGCAGAGTCAGCTGTACACGTCCTCTACACTGCGTTGGGAACAGAAAGGACATCATAGGTGGTCTTGCGCTGATGTCCACTTCATAGTAGCACTCATGTGAAGATGAACAAGATGAAAAGTGCATTAGATCACGACTGATCCGTAATTCTTTACAAAAAGGACTATAGAACAGAAGTGAAGTCTCGTGGTAGTACGCCTTGGTCAGCATCAATATCGATGAAGAGAAACCGACCAAGCGCCGCCTGACTTCCTGAACAGATCCAAGGATACAAAACAGAACAATGCAAAGCACCAGGATCTACAAACACCAAGTACAGTTCTGGCCTAAAACTGATAAGTGTACGGTCACCCATCTTAAAGGAAAGGCATTGAATTGAGATGGAGCGCGGAAACATTCACTAAGCCTGCCTGGTGGCGATTGTGGTCCTACCCCCCAGGAACTTCTAGTGGTTCTAACAACGAGTTCTGGTGGGAATTATTAGCATTTGGGATTTATTTACTTTGTAAAACATTCAGAAACATCGGTGTGTCGTACTGGAGCGCTTAGTCCAATCAATGGCTTATCCTTCACAGAGCGGTATACTAGACGTTACACCAGGAACATCTATTCTACGTGCTCAATAATTTGCAGAAAAAGAACGCCTTCAGAAGACAATAACAATGATACCGAGATATTTGCAGAACTTGGACCACATGCCGGATTCGAACCTGTGGTTACAGTCGATGGTGCAGTGACAACGTGGACCGCGGAAAGAATAATACAGGGTTCGAATCTGGGCTGCGGTCAAAGTTTTGCAATTACCTCAGCGTCATTATAGTTGTGTTTCAAACAATATCCTGCCATAAAGAATAAAAGGCAGAAATTAAGAAGTTGACCATTGTCTTTCGGGTGAGTTTGCTTGTTTGCTTTGAGTATTATGGTAGAACATTGTTGGCAACGAATGGAGAAGCAGCATATCCGCTGTACAAGCAACCTAACGTTAAATGTTGAGGGATTTTGTTCGCTGTAAGCGGATGGGAGGGAAACCATTGAGGAGGCTTCTAAAGGAGTAGCTGTAGTAGATTTCTACACTTGCTGTGAGCAGGACTGTCGGCCTGTGAAAGAGCTCATTCTGCTTCTCGTTTTCAACTCTCCTTCTCGGAATAGGAGAGCCATAGTCAGCAGACAGTGAACACGGGGTGTTTAAGTACATAAAAGATTCCCATAATAATTCACTAATATGGCTGAGAGAAAGGCGAAACGAAGGACTCGCGCGGTGTGGTGGTGAACGTGTTAGCCCTGGAACGGGTAATAGCGTGTTCGTTCCTCACCGCAGGCACCGAGGGTTCAATGTTTTGCAAATATCTTAGCATCATTGTGGTTTTGTTTTATATGATGCCCTGCCATGGAAAAAGAATAGGCCGTAAATAAGTGACGACTCCATTAGTGTCGTAGACACCCGGTTTAATAGATTTTTATTTTAATCTGAAATTCGAACAAAGTACACTTTGTAGAAGCTATTCACATTTTCTAAAACCTACAGAGTTTACAAACAACGCTTTCACGTGGAAACTGAAACCATTACGATTCGCAATCTACCAGGATTCTTGGCAGATTGCACATTCTACTCACAAGTAACAATGTTTCAACCCACAATCGTTGCAATCAACAATTTCCGTGCTTGTTGTAGAAGCGTGTGGCGCAGTGGTCGGAGAGGCCTTGCAATACACATGGGATCGATCCGCATACCTCAGGATCATCAAGCCTTCTATCCGCTCGGAGTCGGCAAATTGGTACCAAACTTGTCTGAGAGGGATAGCAGCACTGGCTCGAAACACCGGTAGGCCACCGCGAGTCATCGTAAAAGTCAGGTATGCATTCAATCACTTCCAACGATGTTCGATGAAGTTGAAAGCATGGCACATCCCTCAGGGATAGATCAACGGCGAGTACATGACTATCTAGTCACTAGTGTCTACGAAGGTATTTGAAGCTCTAAAGAGCTTGTTACATTGATGAGTTAACCGAAAGACGGGAGGTCGAGAGACTGAAGATCTGAACCACGAAAACTGGTGGTATTGTGTTGGTGGATCGTGATAAAACGAAAAGATGTTGTGCTTGAGATGCCTGAAGCATCAGCCTATATTTTTTTTGCATAGCACAGTGCTTGGAAAACATTTGAGTTAAATGTAACAATTTAGTGTCTAGGTCAGTAGAGTAACTAGTAAAGGACTCTGGTGAGAGGTCTAAGCGCCGCCGATGCTACTCGTTTTCATCTACCCAGTTCTTCTCCAGGGTCATCGTCCATATTCCTTGATGCTCCAAAGCGTACTTAGGATGCGGTCTCAATTGGTAATACATAGAGGAAATCCCTTCCTTTTTCACCAGACTTTCTTCGTGAATTGGGTTTTTTCCGACTGATCCATATTTTGATTTTTCCTGCTTTGTTGAGGTTATTCTCTCTGCTCTTCCAGTACTGTTCGGAAAGACCACAATGGCGTCGACTAAGCGATGGTTGTAGCCTACAGTGGTTTACGGGTTCTAAACATGTCAGTATTACAGAGAAGACTTTTCTCTACTGTTTTATGAGTATGGATGATATGCGTGCTGCTACCTACTATGTGTTGCTATGGAGTGTTGCTTATGCAAACACACTGCTGCGAGAACATGGAAGTATTTGGCACTCTGTCGGTTAGCTTTTTTTTCAGATTACCAGTCAATGAAAAGGCTTCTCGTAAATCATTAAATGTGGGAAATGGTTTTGGTCGCACGCCTACTATGTTGATGTGTTTTCGACTAGCTATCGAAGGAATACATGTCGCCCAGTGAAAATAATTCCGGAACGCACTTAATTGAAAATGGACACTGTAGTAAACCCACGACCGACTTTCTACTAACCTCGGCATTAATGGAACAGTTTTTTATATTCTTGTTTAGCAAATTCGGAGTGTTATTTTACTTCTTTATTTACGCATAAGCTGACGTTTCGGTGGATTTCACCTTCCTCAGAGCCTAGAAAGGTTAAGTTGACCGCAATCTACCGAGGCAAACACCTTCATAACCAAACAAAGAAAATGCTAACCAAATAAAAATCAAAGAAGTCAATAGATCATTTATTTATCATTGCAAAGGAGCTATTCTGTGCTCAGTGTGATTGAAATCTTGGTAGATTGGTGGTCAACTTAACCATTCCAGGCTCTGGTGACACTATAGCGCTCGCACCGTCTCTTATGTGTCAGCAATACCTTTTTCTTGTAGAAAACTGTACGGCGTTGAATGGCAAGACGATGATGTAGAATTTCATGAAAATAAACAACTCTAGGAACCCGAGTTCATTTGTCGGGTGATGGTCCTCTTGTTCCTGATCTCTAGAAGTGCAATCATTCCGTGTTTGATGCGATCTGTGCCGTCTAGAAGAGCACGAAGTTTATGGCCCAAAAAGATCGATTTGGTGCTACAGTAGGTTTTTCGGAAATTAATGTCGAATTTGTAATTTCTTCTGCCTTGCAAGGGCGCGCGTGGCGCAGTGGTCAGAGGCGCCCTGCAACACACACGTGGAATCGATACCCGCGCCCATGGCCCACCAAGTCTCCACCCCTCCGGGGTCGGCAAATTAGTACCAGACTTACGTGTCTGGGAGTATAGCAGCACTGGCTCGATTCATCGGCAGGCCACCGCGAATCATTGTAAAGGCCAGATATGCATTCAATTACCTCCAAACGATGCTTAATGCAGTCGACTGCACGGCGCATCCCTCAGGGATTAATCAACTCCGAGACCTTTATCCTTTTATCCTTTATCTTCTCGTAACTGTTTTAGCAAAGTTTTTTGAGTGCTGTGTCACCATGTATATTATTGCAGAGCTCAGTTTTTGCACTTCTGATCCATGTCATTGATTTATAATATAAATTGGACGTTTGGTAAATCGTATAGGATAGAATTTCAATTGTCAAAACAGCATTTTTGACAAATCTATTCATGTGTATTCGAATCCGGAAGTACCCAGCACCAACGAGTCGAAGCACTAATAGGAAACAGATCCAGGGAAGTGTTGTTGAACGCACATTGTGATGTTGGTTTGGAAAATTCTAATTCGATCTTGAAGATTTGAGAGCCCGCGGACGACCTTCCGCTATTGACGACGATGATTTGAAGTTTTTTTTTGGGAAAGAAAATACATGTACAATCGTTCAAGAACTTGAGGAATAGCTTGCTATAGGCATTTCTGCTGTTTCGGAATATTCCAGGAAAACTGGAAAGTCGGAAAAGATGAACAAATGAATGCCATACGAATTGATTAACAGTCAAACAATAAATCTTCGTTTCGACAAATCGTCTGAAATTCTTCTATGCAACCAAAAGGACCTGTTTCTAGGCTGTATTGTGATATGAAAGCGAGAATTAGATGCCTTACGACAACCGTCAACGATCGACTCAGTGAATGGACCTCGGCCGAGCTCCGCAGCACTTCCCAGAGCCGAAATTGCACCGAAAGGTCACGCTGACCGTTTCGTGGTTTACAGCTGGTTTGATCCATCAGCTTTCTGGATCTAGGTGAAATTATTACAGCGGAAAAATAAGTCTAGCGTGTTCGCGAAACGCACGAGCAACTTTGGCGACTGCATCCCTCATCCGTCAACAAAAAGGAAGCAATTCTTCTTCACAATAACACGCAGCCACGCGTAGTACCACCGATGCCGCGAAGGCTTAATGAACTGTGCTACGAAGCTTTACCTCATTGTCCATACTCGCTAGACCACTCGCTTACCGGCTATCCCTCCTTCAAATATCTCGATAAATTGCTTTGCGAAAAATGCCTTGGAAACCTGGTCGACGCCTAGACTGCCTTCAACAACATCACCGTTTCCATAACTCCAGCGTTTTAAGCAGTCGAAATGAATGTTTCTCGTTGGCGAAA